GGAATTTCGCAACCTTGAGCTGGCAACCCTAGCTTCTTGTCGAATATCCTTGTTCCAGAAAACATGCACAATACCCTTCCTTTATTCTAGATCAGCTCCAGTCTAGAATTGCAATGGAACCTCTGGAGACACTTGCTAAGATTTCTCACTAAAGAGCACTGCCTTGTTAGAGAACATCTTCTGCCAGGCGTGGAGGAGCCCAGCTCGCCCAGGCTTCTTGCCTCCTGCTGCCTTGGCCCTCTGGTGCACGGGTGAGTCCCCAAAGTTTGACTCTTCCTTTACAAGTCTCTGGCGCTGGAGGTATTCGCCTCCTTCCCTCCTGCCTGCTATGGCTGCATAATTGTGAGAGATTTCTTAACATAGTGTTCCTGCCAGGGAAGCTGGGGACCCTGCCCATGAGTCTCCATTTCATCCTCACAACAACCCTGTGGGGTAGGTTAGGTAGAGAAGGGGAGATTTGGCCCGGGGTCACTCAGCCAGCAGAGTGAGAATACAAACCTGGGTCTCCCCACATCAATCTGCAACTCTGACCACTGTGCAGTGCTGCCTCTACTGATCTGTAATGTTCCAGAGGTGTTGTAATGTAATACTCAGTTTCTCAAATGAGTGTATGCCTGTCTGTTGGTCCACTTAGGAGTCTTGATCCTGGTTGTGTGGTGGGCTAGTTGTGGCAAATGGTAGGGAAGCTCAGTATTTCTGTATACAGTTGTAGGGGCTTTATTGCAGTGTGGTATGGCCTGATATTATGTTCTTATTCCAGTGTGGGGTGTGTGTGGGGCAATGGAAGCTGAGTGATAGGGTCTCTCCAAGTGATTGCCAGAAGTGAGATGCGTCCTGGTCTTGTGTCTTACAGATAATCTTACAAATAGTCCTTTGCATTTATATCATGCTTTCAACTTTAAAAGGATCATAATGCTGATTGTGTGAACTTAGGCAAATCACCAGAGGTAGAGCAGGAAGGGTTGCATCAGTTCTTGTGGCCTTTCTTACAGGCCCAGGGAAATGCTGATCGCCACTTTGGGGCCAGGAAGCAATTTTTCTCCAGGCCAGTTTGGCCCCCAGTGATCCTGGAGGGTTTTTTAATCATATTCTGGGTATGGAACAGGGGTCACTGGGGTGTGTGGGGAGTATTGGTGAATTTCCTGCATTGTGCAGGGGGTTGGACTAGATGACCCTGGAGGTACCTTCCCACTCTATGAGTCTATAATTCTATAATTCACCCAGGCTGGCTGTGGGAACACCAGCACCTCTGTCAGGCAGAAGCGCCTGAGATCCTCCCCCTCCCCTTTTCCTTCTCCCGACTTGTAGGCGAAGGGAAGGGAGAGGGGGGAAAGAATGGATCCCAGGTGCTTCTGCCTGTCAGAGGGGCTGGTGCACACTTCCGGTGATGTCAGGGTGTGTGGCATATGCTAATAAGTTATGCTAATGAGCTCCTCCAGCTCTTTTTCTACGAAATGACCCCTGCTTATTTGTGAGCTTTTTTCCAGATAAAGTCTTGCCAGGGGCTGGCTGCCCAAGAAAGCCCCTTTAAACAGCTGAGTCATGGAGCAGGCTGCACCCAGAGCTCAGTTGTTTCCAATCTTTTGGCAGTTTCACAGGGATGTTTTGGCAGCTTTCGCAGGGAGGAGAAAGTAGGGGGTTGAATCCCTACTTTTTGCTCCCCATGAACCTACACAAACTGCCTTAAAAGTTCCTGGAGGTTCGTGGCTGGGCTGCACAAACCAGCAAGATTTATCACAAACAAAGATTTGTGAGCCAATTCGTGCCCATACCTAGTCTTGAAGTGCTTCCAGGATCTCACATCCAGGTTGAATGCTGTTAGTGATATGGAGGCTCCATTGGCTTTATCTGGTCATTTTGTGGACCAGCTCAGCCAGTTCTCGATGTAGGAAGTAGGGTTGCCAGGTCTTACCTCTTCACCGATGGGGGGTGGGAGGGAGCTCTCCGGGAGTGGGGGGAAGGGCAGATGTTCACAGCTGTGAGGCAGGCTTTTTTCTATCTATGCCGGGCCCGTCACCTGGCTCCCGATCTGTCTCAGTCAGACCTGGCAACAGTGATTCATGCCCCAGTCACCTCCAGAATAGACTATTGCAATTCAGTCTATGCAAGGCTGCCCTTGAAGGTGCTTTGGAGACTTCAGGTTGCCCAAATTGCCGCTTCTGCCAGGCTTTTGATCAGTACGTCTTGGTCTTCACACATACAGCCTGACTTAACGCAGCTGCAATGGCTGCCTATTGATTTTCAGGTCAAATTCAAGGTGCTGTTTTTTGCCTTTAAAGCCCTAAACAGCCTGGGACCATCATACCTGAGGGACTGCCTCTCCCTTTACGATCCCCCTCGGCAGCTGCGGTCCTCATCTCACAGCCTACTGGTGGTGCCGGGCCGTTGGACTGCACGTTTGGCATCCACCAGGGCAAGGGCTTTTTCAATCATAGGCGCGTCCTGGTAAAATGCCCTCTCAGATGAGACCCAGGCCCTGCAGGACGACCTCCCTTGGTTCTGCACAGCCTGTAAGGCTGACCTTTTCCATCAGGCCTTTCCCAGCTAAGTGTATTTTTTAGTTTAATGCTGGATCCACCCCTATCAGTTATGAATTATTTTTATATACTTTGTATTTTATACAGTTTCAACTATATTTATTATGTCTGTTTTATACTGTTGTGAACCACTCTGAGCCCTACTTTGTGGAGGAGGGGCAGTATATAATAAATAACTACGAGCCATCAAGTCATAATGACTTCTTAGTTTTCAAATAATAAATGGGCGAAAGGGGGAGTATGATTTCTGTCCCTGGCATAATGAAGTCGCTTAATGCATGACCCCAAAGTGGCATCATCACTCTAGTATTCACCCAAACTATAGCTATACTACAGCATCACACCTGGTGCAATGATGTCATTTCTGGGTTGCGTCAGAAGTGATGTCATTGTGCGTCAGAAGTGATGCCAATTCCCCCCCCCCAATCAGAAGTTCCCACCTCCTCTCAAGTTTAGCAAGCTCCTTAAGCGGATCTTGCCACTTTGGGGTCAGGAAGCAATTTTCTCCAGGCCAGTTTGGCTGGAGATCCTGGAGGTTTTTTGTCATCTCCTGGGTGTGGAACAACAGTCACTTGGGGGTATGGAGGGGGAGGTATTTGTGAATTTCCTGCATTGTGCACGGGGTTGGACTAGATGATCCTGGAGGTCCCTTCCGACTCTATGATTCTGTTATTCTTTAGCAGTGTTCCCTATAAGCTGTGTGCATGAGCAGCCACTCATTAACACAGGAAGCCCCTCTCAGCAGCAATCTGGAGCCATGCGCGAACTTGCATTGCCAAGAGCCCCTTTTACCATTACAGAAGTTACATTCTGCTCAGGATATGAACTGCTCCGCTCAGTAGGAGGGGAAATTAGAAGGAGCATTGCTCTTTAGTATCTCCCATGTGAATGAATGGCTGCCCTTCACCTCCATGGTGGAAAGTCCTATACTTCAAGACAGGGCTGTAGCCAACAATGGGGTACATGGGGCTCCACCTCCTTTTAAAATTGTGTCCCTTTGCATCCCCTGAGAGGCGTGCCATTTGCCTGTCAGGAGTCTGCTATGATAAGGAGCAGCAGGGCGCTTCCTGGTGAGCTGGTGGCTGGGGGGTGGGGGGCAGAAGGCACTTCAGAGGGCAGCTGTGGCAGCCTTTTTGCCTCATCTCATTCCTTCTGGGAACCCCGGGCATGGGTGGGAGGTCGAAGGTGAGCTCTCACTTCCCCCTGCCCTCCTCCTTCATGGCTCCTCTGCTGGGTGCGGCATACAAGGCCGGCCCCTCCCGATCTGCCACACACACACCAATGCAAAACATTTTGCAGTGTCTCACAGCAGTTAGAACAAGAGAGTGTGGTGGTCCGAATGCTAGTCCTGGGAGGAGCCTCTGAGCTGCCACTTCTGCATCTGCATTCCGAGCGGCCCCCCACCTCTCCCCCACCATCTCCTCCCCCGGATTCACAGCCCTGCCACATGAAGTTTACCAGGTTGGGCTGTTTCTCCAAGGATGACCCTCCTTCCCCCCCCCCATTTAGCCGAGGCGACACTGTCTTGCTGCATGTCCCCTGTGGGGCCGCAGCCAGGGCTGGGTCCCCCTTTCTAGATTAGCTTATTTAGTTCATTTAATTAAATTAAATTAGTGAGCCCCTCAGCACCCTGGTGCCCACCCCCCAACCCTGACTACCATGATGCACTATGAGGGAAACTTGTACATTACCAGTGGGGGCCTAGCTTTCACTGATTAATTCCTGCTTCTGTGAGCAGATGCTTTGAAACCGCCATGACCACTGTAATGACAGGGCTTTTGTGAGTATTGTATAAACTGGACATCAAACCATGTCTAGGTTCCTCTTGTGATAACAGCTTTATTTTATACAAAAAGTAATGAGATTCTTAATAACTCCTACAAAAGTGAAGAATAAGCAAAAATTACAAACGCATGTGTTATATTAACTGCATGCCAGCAATTATATTAGTTGGTCACAATAAGCAAGTCCTATCACTTATTATTATTTATGTATAACTATTCTGATTGCCTATAATCAGGGCTCTTTTTGTAGCAGGAACTCCTTTGCATATTAGGCGACACACCCCTAATGTAGCCAATCCTCCAAGAGCTTACAGAGCTCTTCTTACAGGGGCTACTATAAGCTCTTGGAGGATTGGCTACATTAGGGATGTGTCACTTAATATGCAAATGAGTTCCTGCTACAAAAAGAGCCCATTATTGTAAAGTCTTTTTGCAAAAAAAAATATCTAAAAGCTACAATTAAGATGTTAATAAACTAACATTCAATAAAACATTTCTTGCAACAAGTTGTATCCCAGATGTGAAACTATACAAATATCCATGCTATCGGAAAGGCACACAAAAAGGGATTAAAGTAAGGTGTTATTTCTTGGTACTAACATTCTGACTAGGCACAGCAGTCTTCAATTCATTATGAAGTAATCAGTGGGATTGCTGTGACATAATTGGCTTTGTGACTGTGATGCTTGTAAATGCAAAGATTAGCATGCCTAAATCCAACAACTTTCCTGACTCCACTTCCCAAATCTGGATCATTGGGCCATCTGTACAACAACGGCTTTCCAAGCCTTTTCTTTGTCAAAATCCTTCATGCTATTATTGGACACCTTAAACAAATTAAAAAATATATATTCAAATACTATAATTGAAAATGATAGAAGATAGATTAGCAAAGTACATAGAATCATAAAGATAGAATGTGTTCCTTAACCATGACACAACATATCAATATTAAACATGACTGATTATTTTATCATTAAATTACATTTTTTTACTAAAACTCCTACTTCACATTTCACCCCATAAAAATAACCAAATACCTGTTTATAGATATAGATAATCACTCACAATGTAAACTGGAGTGGATTGGCTATGATAGCTACCAGGACTTCTCCAGGTGGGCCAGTGGCCTCTCACCCCCACCTGGGCCGAGCTAGTCCAACAGCAAAAAGGGGCTGCACAGGAAAGGCAGCAATTGGCCCGCCCAGAACTGGTGTGGCCTGTGGGAGATGTTGCCCAGCCTGATCAGGGCCTGTGTGGCCAAGGGAGTTAAAAATATGAATTGAGTTTGTAAGAAACTAATATATGTTTATTAAAGTCTAGAATTAGGGGGAAAGCCAAAAGTAGTGCTTAATTTGCAGACGGGCATATGATTTTAATTCCTCTACACTTTAAATGATCAGAAAATGACCTAAATTATCAGAAAAATTCCTTAACAAAAGCAATTATTAAGTATAATTATTGCTCACCTCTGTTGTTTTATACTCTTGGTTACTTATTTGTGGCACAGCCCACAATGAATCACGCAGTTTCATTTTTGCCTTGAAGCTTACACACTGTATGACAGTGCCTGTGGTCAGGAAAGCTTGAATCAACAGCATCAGCATTAGAAGTAGCAGGAGAACATCATAAGACTGCTAAAAATCAATACGTATACAGAATAGATTTTATGAACGCCAGTTATTATGATCTTTTATATCACAACCAGATCACATCTCCTGGAGACACCTGTTGTAGTTTGCCCACACTTCCAATATAAAATACTATTCATTTATTATTCATTTTTCTTCCTTAGGCATGGCCACCTCCTGTGTTCCCGGGAGCTCCTCTGTTTTCCAGACACTGCTCCAGGACCAGGAAGTATATTTTCTCACAATTTAGAAGAACAGGCTTAGTAATCTACTATATTTGTTGAAGCATGCAAATGTGTACTCTTAATTACTATATACATGCAAGGGAGGCCTTAGCCAATGGGCAACCAGGGTGCTGCCCGGGGCCCAATGCTGAGGGGGCTCCCATCCACTCATGCCCCCCTGCAAAGGGGGGGGAGAAGAGTAGACTCCCACTGCCACCGCTCATGCCTGCCCTGTCCGACGTTTGGACAGCCATGTTCTGGTGGTGGATTCCTCCTGCCTTGTGTGGGGCAATGGCCACCCCTTGCTTGGCCCAGCAGAAAGAGTAGCAATGATTCTGGACTTTTGCCCAGGGTCCCCAAATTAATAAGACCACCCCCACATACATGCTAAAATACAGATTTAGACAGGAGTTCAGCAACAAAACTGTGGAGTACATGTTTTGTACAGTGTGAAAACTTTCTTTTCCCTTCTTACAAGTCGAATTATGGGCAAACTTTCTGCCTGGACTAATCTTTGGTAGGACCACCCAGCATCAAATAAAAGTTTCCCAGAGCCAGACCAGGTCCGTAGGCCATCAGTTGGCTGTTCTGAACTGCTTGAAAAACTATGATATTGCTCTGGCAATATGTACATGTAAATGTTGAATTTTTAAATAAATCTGGTAAAAAAAATATTGCTCTGGCTACAAGAACTTGATTTACAAAGTGGTTATTATAGTCTTTCAGCTTTTATATACTGAAGACATGGCCTTGATTTCCATGTTTACTTTTGCAATCAAGTCAAGTCAACTTTTGCAAATGGAATTTCCAAGAATTGGTACATTTCCTAGAGGACGAGAAAACCTTATGTTTTGATTACTTTTGCAATCAAAACATGAAGTTTTCTCGTCCTCTAGGAAATGTACCAATTCTTAGAAATTCTACTTGTTCTGAGCATATTAAATGTTTACTCCAAACTCCACATTCATTTCCTGCAGAATTGTGTCCAAGCCAAGTACAATCAAACTTCAAAATACAAGCTAATTTGATATGCATATATTTTACTTTATAGTAAATTGAAGAATGAAGCTAAAACCACAGTCCTTATCTTAAAGTGTTTCCTAATTTATAATTAAGATTCTTGACACCACCTAAAATTCTTAGGATGTTAACTAAGGCAGGAAACTTCACCTCTTCAGTACTAGAAACTTTTTAAAAACAAGAAATTAGGTACAATTGTAAATCCTGTGGGCTATACTTTGGGTTTCATACTTATATCTAACAGCTAAGGGTGCCCTCTGTGTGAATAAAAAAAATGTACAATGAGGCTGGCCAGAGTTTGTTTATTTATTTATTTACATTATTTATAGTCTACTTTTCTTACTGGGACTCAAGCCGGATTACACAGAGTGAGTCAAGTTTTTACACAAATTAACCACAGGTTTTCAGAAAAGCTGTTTTTGTGAAACAAAAAAAGGAGTTTAGAATCCACAGCCATGCACAGAGATTGGGGGGGGGGGGGACAGTAACCTTCTGCTAACATTTTGGTTTCCCACAGAGACCCCGAATGGCACCTGACATTGCAGTTGTTGTGACCATGGTTGCCTCAGGGGGAGTAGCTTCAGGGAGGACAGGAAAGAAGAGAGTGTGGAAAGCTACAACAGAGAGCCAGCAAGAAGGGAGAGGGGACAAAGTGGCAGTTAGTGAGAGGACAAAGAAGGGAGTGGAAGCAGATGAGGGAGGAACTAAAGAAGACAGAGCAAGCAGAGTAGAAGGGAGGGAAAGTGTTACTGAAGGCAGTGTGGGGGTTAATAAATGGGGGCCAGAAGAGCAGGAGAAAAGTGGGAGCTGGAACCAACAAGGGGGGAATTGGGGATAAGATTGGGGATCAAAAAGTGGGAGCTGGCAAGGGTGGGAGCAGTGCCAGAACAGGGAGAAAGAATTATTGAGCTGAAGAATTGGATTTCCCCTGCCCCGTGAATTCTCACAATTTCACACTTGTAATACGTATCTCACAAATTCTTACTGACTAGTTATTTTAAAAGCTTGAAAAACCTTATAGTAGCCTATATCTAAAGGTTGGAAAATACAGGGCAAATCTGCTGTATTCCATTTGTTGACTATGGATACCTGGAAAAAAAACCAGACTAAAATGGTAAATATCGCTTAAAGAACAGTAACTAATCTGTGGTGCATCTTTTCCCCATGTCATAATGAACAAAATGAGTTCACACGAATGTACATGATACAAAAGTTAGAACAGGGTATAAATCCAGACAGTAGTGATATTGTATCTTTAAGAGAACAGCAATTATACTCTTCTTTCAAATCTCATATTTAAAGTGGCTGAGAATTCTTTTCTGGACATCTGTAATTAGAACTACTAGCATCTAGTTAACACAGTCCATTGAGTGAGACAGCTGGTGTACCTGAAATTATTATCGGAAACAAACTGATATATTTCGCCAGATGTAAATTTTAAAGCAAATATTTTACCACTGAAACATAAACATTGCAACCAACTGACAATCATCACCAAAGCATCCCAAGAACTAGAAATTGCACAAGTGGCATCCATTCACTAGCCTTGGGCTCTGATCAAATTCTATGATAGAGTTTTGCTTAAAATGTAGAACTGCAGCCAAATGCTTTGGGCAGTGCAAATAAAAATGCAGACTCTGCTGCCTCATTTGGTTCTGTTGTCCCTTTAGCTTCAAGTTCGCAATTCTCAAGCCAAGGTATCAAAGCTCTCCTATCTCTGCACAAGACACTTGTGATCTTACCCACTCTAAAATCAACATAAAACAATCAGTAAACCTCTGAGATGGCATTTATAAAAGTTAGCATTTCTTATATTAAAAATTAAGTAATTAAAAATTAAGTAAGTATATTAAAAATTAAGTAATTAATTGGCTACGTATAAGAATTTAGAACCAATACATACTTTAACGGCTGGTGGATAATTTTTAAAGATGTCAACAATCCTCATGATACTGAAGGACAAGTATCCAGAAGCTGTGAATAATAATGGAGAAGTGACACTGCTTATGGCAATCAGGACTTCTACCTACATTAAAGATAAAATTGTGACCTTAAAAAAATATTAATCTGTTGAAAAAAAGTTTAAGAATTTGTACATCATTGAGTATCTGCATACATTTGTGTAAATGGAATATGCAATACATTATTTACAGAAAAAACCAATACAGAATAGAGAATATGAAATAGTAATCAACTAAATTACTGTTTAGGCACAGCTGTTGTGAGTGAAGTTCTGAAGAGTTGATTCAAATACAAGAGATACAGTTCTAGGACTAATTGACGAAAACTAAGAAGTCATTATGACTCGATGGCTCACAGGTCTTATAAAATTATTGTTAGAAGATCAGCAATTTCTCATATGGAGAAATTGCTGATCTTCTAACAATAATAGTATCACTAAAATCAGCCTCTTTTTCATACAGAAGTTGGGCAAACAGCAATCATAACACTGATTTTTTTAAAAAAAAGGTTAGTCTAATATGTGCTGTGGTAAAATAATAGAAACTATTATAAATGAATTATTAAGCATATAGAAAAACACAGCATACTAACTATGAATCAGACTGGTTCAGCAAAAGGAAGTTCTACCTTCCTAACTTTTAGGAGTTATTTGAAAGTGTTAACAAGAAGGTCAAAGAGTCATAGCATGTTAGAGACAAAAGGCACTTTGGAGATGACCTGGCCTATCTCTTTGCAGGAATACATAACCGGGGAGGCTTAGCCACTATAGGCACTAGGACGTCTCCTTGTGGGCCAATGGCCTTCCCCCTACCTGGGCTGGGACAGCCAAGTGACAGAAGGCCTGCAGATGGCCTGCTTAAGGCAAGGGAGCTGCCTCCTGAGCCTTGCATGGAGCAAGAGGGGGGCGTTACCCAGCCATGTGAGGTAAGGAAGGTGTCATAAGTCAGTCTGTGTTCAGTGACAGCACAGATTCCACAGACGAAGAGCTATCTGCAGCAGGCCCTCAGACAGTAATTGAACAACTGGTTGCAGCTTGTTCTGAGCCAAGAGGAGAGCAAATAAATAAATAAATGCCAAGACTGCAGATAACATTAAATTGTTCAGGGTGGTGAAAATCAAAGAGGATGTTGAGGAGCTCCAAGAGGATCTCTCTAAACCGGTGAGTGGCAGTGGATACTGTATGTGAACGAAAGCTGCTAGAAGGATTTATCCTAATAATTCTTATGGCCACTGCAGGGGACAGCAGAATTTTGAATGGAAGTGAGGGGATCAAAGTGCAGTACCATCAGCCACTAGAGTCAATTCAGAACCAGTGAAGTGTCAGTGGTTAGAATATCAGACTAGATTTTGGGAGACCCAGGGTCATAACCCCAGTCTGCCATAAAGTTCACTAGGTGAATTTGGGTCAATCACACTCACTCGGTCTAACGTATTTTATTGTGTTTTTTGAGGAAAAAATAGGGAAGGGAAAACTATGTCCACTGCTCTGAGCTCCATGGAGTATTAGTGGGACAAAAATGTACTATACCGAGAGATTTGAGATAATAGCACAAACCAATCTGAGAAGTAAAAATGGAGGGTATCAGACAGAGGCCTTTATCCGAGTGCCATCTTGTAGGATCAATGTGTACACTGCACACTGTATCACACCACCTTTAACTCTGTGAAAAACTGATTTGTCTCAGGCTTGAAGGAAGAGAGTCTGAGATACAACCATAAAGTCCAGTGCCTATTCTACTTTCATAAAGAACAAAATTATGTACCTACTTTCACTGCAACAGCAAAAACGTTTATGGCAATATTCATCCATTGACTACTTTAGTAACATACTTACCAAACATTTACTTGGATATTCAGCAGTCACGTGACTTGCAATGGCACTGGGAAAACACTTAAAGGGAAATCAAAGTTTAAGATCAATACAGGACTCAGAACCACAGACACACCTGCATTTCATAGAGCAATGAATATTAGAAAACATACTGATAACACCAATTGAGCTTTCAAGCTTCACTTTCCCTTTTTCTGTGAAGTGGAATTATACACAACATGCTATCCATACATTATTCAAGTAACTGATTTAATGAGGAGTTACTAAAGCTTTATTTGTAAGCTCTTAAATTAATTGTCCCTGTCCCTGATTCACAGTCTTTCATTCCTGTTAGAGAGCACAAACTTTTCTGTATCCAGAATTGGAATACAACAGAATAATGTGGAAACTGAATCTAACTACAAAGGATCGGTTTCCTTTTACAGAAGATTCCTGTAAATTAGGACACAATGGGTAGGATCCAGACTAAATAGGCAATTTCCACTGATTTTCCCCTTTTGCTTCAGACACCCCTTGTCGTCTTCTTCATGGTCCCTTCTCCCCCAGGACCAACTTTTAGTGGAGATCACTGAGCTGCAGGGGAAGTGGGGAAGGAGGACAGTTCATTCCAATAATGGAAAGTTTAGTCTGGATTCAACCCACTACTTTCTCATGTCTCACAATTTCCAATATGGAGGTTTAACAAAAAATAAAACTGGAGTATCCGGTCCTTAGGGAGCTGCGGTGGCTCAAGTGGTTAAGACGCTGAACTGCAGGCTGTGGAAGGTAAGTAGTTCAGCAGTTCGAGACCCAGGTGCCACATGACGGAGTGAGCTCCCGTCTCTAGTTCCAGCTCCTGCCAACCTAGCAGTTCGAAAGCAAGAAATTGCAAGTAGATAAATAGGTACCACTTCGGTGGGAAGGTAACAGCGTTCCGTGCACCTTGGTGTTTAGTCATGCCGGCCACAAGACCACGGAAACATCTTCGGACAGCGCTGGCTCTTCGGCTTTGAAACGGAGATGAGCACCGCAACCCTAGAGTCGGATTCGACTGGCTTTCGAGCAAGGGAACCTTTACCTTTACCTATCCAGTCCTTATTACCTAATGCATATACATAGGACAATGGTTCTAAATAAAAATGAGCAAACTGTTTTATGAAAAGTTAGATATAATGGTATAACACCTACAGCCACCAAGATCCAAAAGAAAGTAACTGAAAGATATGGACCCGAGACCAGCACATCCATATTCAAAGCAATTATTCCACCAAACACAGCAGAAATGCCAATTATCACTTCAATGACCTAAAAGTGCAAAAAGAAAGAAACAAAAATATTATTTGCATATCATTGTTTCATTGGCAATTTATATGGGTAAGAAAATGAATGCTTCTTACTGAATAAGATTTCAAGATCCGTGTAGGAAAGCTGACATTATTCAATGTTCCAGTGCTGTCATATACAGTCATCTAAAAGGAAAAAGGAAACCATAACCAGTGCAAGCAAACCATTCACCATGTAGCAGCACTCACGCTCTAAGCATTAACCAAATGTTAAAGAGCTACAAACTTTTGGTGACTGTTATTAATTTGTATTTACTTTCAGACAAAGAAACAGAGATTGAACATATAATACTCAGAGAACACTACCTGTGTATGTGCTATGGGAGAAAGATCTTATCTCCCTTGACTCCTATTCAGGGGTCATTTCATAGAAAAAGAGGTGCAGGAGCTCATTAGCATAACTTATCTGCATATGCCACACCCCCTGACATCACTGGAAATGTGTCAGAAGGCAACACCCACCGCTCAGGCTCCACTGGACTCTTTTGGATTGCTAGCTATGGGGGGGGGACGCGCAGATCTGCCCTCACAGAGGAGGGAGAGCTTGTACCTGAATAAACCTTGGCCTTAAAGGTGCCACTGGACTGTTTTGGATTGCTGGCGGGGGAGGGGTCTGTAACTTACCTGGCTGCTTCTTGCTCCTCGTGGCCTGGGGCTGCTGGGAGCAGGGGGTGTGGCTTGTTGCATGTGCCCGCCCCTGGGCTCTTTACTGCCGGAGCTCCGCTCCTGCAGGAAATGACCCCTGCTCCTATTCCTTTGCATGCAGCACTAACACAAATGTCAGTCTGTCTTAAGAATAAAATTTAATTTCTCATAAAAAAGTAAAAGATAGGTTTCTCTCCCTCTCCCTCTTCTTCACTCCTAATGTATGCCAGCTCTACATTTTGCTGAAGTGCCACTAATCCTAAAAGACCACAACTGCACATAAACAACAGGAAGGGGATGATAAAAGTGGGTTTAGTTAAATCATATCAATTATTTTTTTCCATTCTCATGTCAATAGAAGTGGTAACTGGGAACAAAGGCCCCCTTCACATGCCGAATTTGCCACAGGAGAGCCATGAATGCTAGGTGGATTTTCAGGGTGCAATCACACCGCAACATCTGGCAAGCGTAGCGCACCTGTGGCGTGCCACTGAAGCTGCGTGGTTAAAAAGTATCTCAACAAATGTACTAGCAAATGGTTTGCCACAGGCAGCCGACGGAATCGTTCCGTGTGATTGCGCTGCCGCGTCACTTTCCCCCATCTGTCCTCCTTGATGCGCACGCGGTGACGGACGAAACCGCGGTGTGCTGCCGTCATATCTGATCGTGTTCTGGCGGGTCTAATTGTGCCGGTGCAAAGAGCCACGCCTCCTCTCCCACGTTATCTGGCCCGTGTGACCGGGGCCAAAATATGTTATATTTTCAGGCTTTGCTTGCCTGAACTATCTTCTAGATTACAAACCTCTGACCACTTACGTAAGCTTTGAATTGGTCACGTTACTATTCTGCAAAATTACAAGCAAACTTTTGTTACATTAGTAAGTTTATTTTAAGGTCCTGGTTTTCTTGTGGATCTTTTGGCACTGAAACAAGTTAGAAGTAACAGTTTCATACATCTGTCAGTGCAGTTAACAGGCAATTATGCACCTTACCTAGATACATGAATCTAACATATTTACAACAAATATATTAAAGTAAGGAACTTTTATCTTGACTTTTAGAATTTCTGGATTTCTGCTGCGCAGCCATTTAAAACCCAGAAATCCCTCTATATATTTGTATGCATTAAATTGGGTATAATAGTGATTAGTATGCCAGATTAGGACTGCGTAGTTCCTAGGGTTGTGAACTACCTGGAGAAAACTGTCTTGCCCCTCTAATAGAGGCTTGATATGATTTTGTTTACCTCTATGCCATTAAAAGCTTCAGTGGCTCATTGCCACACATTAAGCCTCTATTAATGGGCATTTTTCTTTTTTATCATTTATGTGCATATTTAGAGAGAGGAGGCAGAGACAGAGAGGATTAATATTTTTTATCAAGTTTGTCCAGTTTTTTTGTGGAAATCATTTAATAACACTAGAAAAGGAATCAGATTATTTTTTTCAGACATTAAAGGGAAAACTTACTTTGTTCCTCCCGCAACACTCTTCATTAGATCTAGCTGAAATTATTAGAGTAGTTGCCATGAAAATTTCCAGTAGAATTAGGAGAATCAAGTTGAAGTTTATCTGTGCATAAAATCCAATCAATAGGTTAACATATTGAATCTGTATACTTACAAAATTATACATGATATAGTCCCAAGTTTAGCCCTGTATAGGGTTAAGAATCAGGCCCAATTCAAACATTACATTTGTGTTACTGTAACTGTTAAAATTGAATTGAGTCATTTGTTTGTAGAGGCTTCCGATACAGTTTAGCTAATTTTAATGTCAGTCAGTTTATTATTACAGTCCTCGACCAGTACAATTTAATCAATTTGAAATACAATGTAAAGGAAATTCCTAGCAGTAGCCTCTTAAGAACCAGAAAAAGCTCATCTCCCTTATAAATAAAAGCCGAATGGTGGTGGCACTTCTCTAGAACATTACACACGCTCCAAAATCAGTTCGCTCTCATTCAGAGGGTTTCCCTATCCACTGGCTGCTTTGCCTGAGTCCTGCCTCCAACATTCTAAACATTTTGCTGTTCCTCTCCCCACCATAGCCAGTCAGAACACAGTAGGGCTGCCAAGTGGGGGCAGGGGGCGGGGAAACCCCCGCTTTGGAGGCCCGATTTCCGCTGCCGCAGAATCGGGCCCCGGGGGAAACCCCACCCCGGCGTGTGCGTCACCAGGAAGTGACGTGGACACGCTGGGCATGCTGGGGGCAGGGCCACGGCTATACAAGGGAAAACTCTATGGTTTTCCCTTGTATGGCCATGGCCCCGCCCCCAGAATGCCTGGCGTCCTTCCGTCACTTCCGGGTGATGTGCATGCGGCACGTGCGCGCTTCGCTCGCGCACGCACAGGACACCAGCCGGGAGCCCCCCGCTCCCGGCGAAGATTAACTTGGCAACTCTCCCCCCCATAGCTAGTCAGAACACAGAGGTTATTTGCATATGCAGCCTCATTGGCCTCTGCCTCAGAACACAGAGGTTGTTGGCATATGTGACTTGATTGGCTTTTGCCTCTAACATTCTAAACAGTTTGCTGTTTTGAGGTAAAATGTGTCCAATCTCCAGGTGAGGGCTGGAGATCACTCAGAATTACAACTGCTTTCCAGATGGCAGAGATCAGTTCCCCTGGAGAAAATGGAGGGCTTTGTATCCTTATATGCTGCTGAGGTGGCCCCTGTATGACAGCCAATGTGATGTAGCAGTCAGGGCTTCAAAGCACGGGAGAGGCTGCAGGTGTGTGGGGGGTGGAAAGCTGAAGAGTGAGGGGAAAATAAAGGTAGGTTGATGATTGGCTGGGAAGGAGATAGGGTTGCCAACTCCAGGTGGGAAATTCCTGGAGATGTGAGGGATGGAGCCTGGAGAGGGTGAGGTTTCAGGAGGCATGGGACCTCGGACAAGTACAAATCCATAGACTCCACCCTCCAAACCAACTATTCCCTTCTGGGGAACCATCGTTGCCAATCTCCAGGTGAGGGCTGGAGATCACTCAAAATTACAACTGTTCTTTAGGTAGCAGAGATCAGTTCCTCTGGAGAAAATGGTGGACTCAGTGTCATTATACCCTGCTGAGGTCGCCACAGCAAATTGACACTGAGTGTCCAAGGCCGGGGCACCCACCCAGAGCCTCTTTCTAGAGGCCGTTGTATTTATTTCCACAACGGGCCTTTTTCCTAGTAATAACATAAAGTTTAAGGGTTATACAAAATTATAAAAGAAAGGAATAGAACTATCTTTTGAACATTTTTAACCATTTAAAAAGACACTTTTAAATTTTTTATTAAAAGGTAGAGGTATGTCCTATTTGCCTCGCTTTTTGCATTCCTTGTAAACCTGGGTGCAGAACCTAGCCACCTGAGCTAATTTTAACGAATTCATTACCTCTCAAACATAGGGGATTGTACTATGCCATTAACAGCGAACTGGATGGGAAACCATTTCATATAAATAAACTCCTATGTGACAGAAAAATAGTTCAATTTTCCTTTATTTTAGTGGATATTATGTGGCCAATATAACACTTGAATCATTGCAGATCACCTAGATTTTTATTTTATAAGCAATTTTCTTGGGGGGAAAGGGGGATTTACAGCAAATTTATTTGGAATTCCTTGAGTATTTGCAATCCTAAATTTAAGTCTGCTGGGGGGGGAGCAGACTGCATCCAGTGGTTTTTGATGCCACCAATCAAGGTATCCTGGACTACCTTTTGGGGTTGGGATTGGGAGGCACTGTCCTGTGGTAGTTTCAGTCCTACCTCGAAAGTGTGGTGCTGGGAGATTGTTCCTCCACCCCTTGGCCTCAGGCCTACAGGGTCCCACAAGGTTCCATCTTGTCCCTCATGCTTTTTAACATCTAAGTAAAGTCGCTAGGAGAGGTCATCCAAAGATCTGAGCTGAGTTATCACCTATATGAAGATAGCACTCAGCTCTATCTCACGCTTCCAGCAGATCCCAGGGAAGTTGTGAAAACCACAAACAGGTGCCTGGAGTCAGTTTTGGGATGGATGAAGACTAACAAACTGAAACTTAATCCTGACAACACAGAGGTGATACTGATGAGGGGAAGGTTTAACCTAGAACTTGGAATATCTCCTGTTCTGGATGATGTCACAGTCCTCATAAAGGAATAGGTTTGTAGCCTGCGGGTGCTGCTGAACAAGGGCCTCCTGTCGGATAAACAAGTGGCAGCAGTGGCCAGGGGTGCTTTTCACAGGCTTTGGCTTGTGAGCTAGCTGTAGCCCTTCCAGTGAAGGAAAGACCTTGTGACTGTGGTGCATTCACTGGTAGCATCTAGATTAGATTACTGCAATGCATTGTACATGAGGCTTGAAGACTGTCTAGAAGGTACAGCTGGTGCAGAATGGTGTAGCCAGAATGTTGACTAGAGTGCTCCATAAGGACCATATCACTCTAGTCTTGTTCCATCTACATTGGCTCCAAAATTGCTTCTGGACCCAATTCAAAGTTGGGTTTGCCTTTTAAAGCCCTATATGACTTGAGGCTAGTATACCTGAAGGACTGCCTGCTCCCATATGAACCTACCTGTCCACTCTGGTCATCTATGGAGGCCCTGCCTCAGGTACCCCACCATCTGAGGTTATACCAGTTACAACCCAAGAAAGGGCCTTTTCCATTATGGCACCAAAACTTTGGAATTCCCTCCCTAGGGAGATTTGTCTGTCTCCCTCTATCATTGTCTTCTGCCAGGACATGAAGACTTTTTTGTTTTGTTTGACATTTCTCCACAAACTGTTGTTGATCCTCCTCATAAGAACATAAGAGAAGTCAGTGTTGGATCAGGCCAAAGGCCCATTCAGTCCAACACTCTGTTACACAGTGGCCAAAAATATCAGGTGCCATCAGGAGGTCCAGCAGTGGGGCCAGGACACTAGAAGCACTCCCACTGTCCCCCCCCCCCAAGCACCAAGAATACAATGCATCGCTTGCCCCAGACTGAGAGTTCCTATCTATACCTTGTGGCTAATAACCACTGATGGACCTCTGCTCCATATGTTTATCCAATTCTCTCTTGAAGCTGTCCATGGTTGTAGCCGCTGCCACCTCCTGTGGCAGTGAATTCCATGTGTTATTCACTCTTTGGGTGAAGAAGTACTTCCTTTTATCTGTTCTAACCCGACTGCTCAGCAATTTCATGGAGTGCCCACGAGTTCTTGTATTGTGAGAAAGGGAGAAAAGTACTTCTTTCTCTATCTGCTCTATCCCATGCATAACCTTATAAACCTCGATCATGTCACCCCTCAGCCGTCGTTTCTCCAAGCTAAAGAGCCCCAAGCACTTTAACCTTTCTTCATAGGAAAAGTGTTCCAACCCTTTCCAATCCTCCCTGGTTGTGTTATTATGTGTGTTTATATATTTTATTGAATTGTTTAACTATTTTATATATACTTTATTTCAAATGCTGTTTTAATGTGTCAAATGTTTTAATGTTGAAATGTTTTAATGTTTTGATGTTCACCACCATGGGGACCCTTGGGTGGAAAGAGAGCATAGAAATGTCTTAAATAAAATAAATAAATATATAAGCAGGTATACTCTGAATCCTAATTAGTTCTATTTAGTGGGACTTACTCCCAGGAAGGTTTTTTAGGATTAGGAAAGTGTACAAACAATATTTCTGTGGTTCGATTCGAACCACGAACTGATATACCAGTTCACAAACCAAACTGGTTTGTATTGGTCCATGAGCCATTTAACCCCCTGCTTTTTGCTCTTCATGAACTGCCATGAACTGCATCAAAATTCATGGAAGTTTATGGTGGTTCAGTTTGCAAACATCACTTTGTGAACCATGATGAAACTAAAAGTTGTGACGAACTTTAGTTCGTGAGCCACTTTATGCTCATCCCTATTTAGGATTGCACAGGAAATGGTTTTTTTCAAAGCACATGATAGTTCTCTGAGAAATAAGAATATTGTAGTGTGGAAAATGGAATTAAAGTTGACACAAATATGGAACATAAAAGGGAAATGTCCAAAACAGTATCAACATTTTAAAATGCAGATAACTATTTTCCCCAGAAAGTCCCTTTAGATTCAAAACACAGAGTTAGCCCAAATTATTTCATTCTATGTTTTTAGGTAGTGAAAGGATGCTAGAATATTTTGGGTCACACACAATACCTCAGTAGAGCATGAATCAAGAGCTGGGTCACATACTTCATGATTGCAGGATCAGTTGGCTCATTCACAGGCAGATCTCTATCACAGATAAAGTACCACAGACAGCACTTTTTCACATAATCCATAGTTTTCAGTGATATCTTACATTCATCTACAAACAGTCCATTACTGAGTAATCTAGCACTGTGAAATCAAGTGATTTATATGTATATGTGAACCAGCCCAAGAACAGAAAACATTCTATTTAGGAAAAAAAATCCAATTCTAACCATAATGTTCATATATTTAGAAGACAATACGACTTTATTTAACCATATCCAAACACAAACAGCTGTATTACTAACCTATGCCTGAAGAAATATCTGATTAATTTGCTTATGGGCTCTACGTAAACTAAATACCGAATAGCAATGCAATCTCAAGCAGACTTATACCCTTTTAAATCCATTTAAGTCAAACCATTTTAGAAGTCTGTAACTATGCTTAGGACAGCACTATAAATATAACATAGTTTTTTGTTGTTTGCAACTCACATTTATCGCTGTTGGATTCAAGACAAGTTTGCATCCAAACCAAACTAAACATGTGGTTGTAATTGCAAATGTAGAAACAAAGAGCATCTGAAAATTGGGTATCTGTAAAATAAATTTTTTTAATGTAGTAAATAGTAAATCCACCACTAACACATGAACACAGATCAAGCAGTCAACAAGACTTGCAAAGAAAACGCTTTCTGTATATTATGCTAAACCATATTTGAGCCTGAATACTTATTGAGATCAGCGTCCTATCTAAATGTATTATCTTTCCTGATTTTTTGTAAAGCACTTTATGAGCAAGAGAGCTTTTGTACTACTCTAATATTTCCTGAGGAAGATCCAGTTTTGAAACGTTATTATATAATCTGGAGTCGACTTTGATGATGTACTTTCACAATAGGATTTTTTATGATTTGAAGGAATTTGTTAATTGTGTTGTAGTGCTTGTTGACCATAATATACAGAAAGCGTTTTCTTTGCAAGTCTTGTTGACTGCTTGATCTGTGGGTCAGACTCTTACGACTGTTTTCTTTACATTTATACTGAATCAGACCATTTCAGACAATTGGGCCATCGAGGTCAATATTACCTACTCAGACTAGCAAGCAGCTTTCCAGCATTTCAGGTGGAGGTCTTTCATGTCACCTACTACCTGATCCTTTTAGCTGGAGATGCCAGGGATTGAATTTGGGACCTTCTGCATGCCAAGCAAATTCTTACCACTGAGCCACAGCACCTCCCCAACAGAGCTTCCTAAATAGAGCTGCTCAGAATTCTACTCAATGCGACTTATTCCCGGGAAAATGTTGTTAGCATTGCACTGTAAAGCACTTACCATGTTAACTTTGTTTCTGGCTATAGCAAAACTTACAGCTGCTGCAGGAATGCACTGGGAAAAAATGAAAATCAAGAGGAAAACTTATAAATAAAACCAGAAGCTCAGTATAGATAAATATTCCCTATGAATATGGCAGTTATGATGAAATAGGCAGTATTCAATTTGAACCTGTACTAAATTTCCATATCTGAAGTCTGACTGGGTAGATTTGGGCCAATATATTTCAGCCTAAACATTCACAGTGGGGTTTGATGGTGTATTTGGCTATTAACTTAAGGCATAAGATCCAAAGAGCTACTTTAGGTGTGCATGAGGGCTCAATTGTGCCTTGGAATCTTCCCATTATCTTTTTCTTTCTTTCTTTCAATAGAAGAGCCATCATGACACAAACACAGTACTTTTCTCCATTTCATTGGGCACTCAATGAAATTACTGAGCAGTCGGGTTAGAACAGATAAAAGTACTTCTTCACCCAAAGAGTGATTAACACATGGAATTCATTGCCACAGGAGGTGGCGGCGGCTACAAGCATGGACAGCTTCAAGAGGGAATTAGATAAGCATATGGAGCAGAAGTCCATCAGTGGCTATTAACCACAAGGTATAGATAAGAACTCTCACTCTGGGGCAAGTAATGCTCTGTATTCTTGGCGCTTGGGGGCGGGGCAACAGTGGGAGTGCTTCTAGTGTCCTGGCCCCACTGCTGGACCTCCTGATGGCACCTGGTATTTTTGGCCACTGTGTGACAGTGTTGGACTAGATGGGCCATTGGCCTGATCCAACATTGGCTTTTCTTATGTTCTTATGTTCTTAAACTCCTTTTGTGGCCTATCCTTTCAGTTTCAGTTTCCCACAGCTTACAATGGGAGTTAATCACAACAAGAAATGTGAAAACAGCGTAATAGCACTGTTTAACATCAAATTTAAACCAGATGCTTGAGACGTATGTCTTGTCTAATATTATTATGTTGGAGATTGTTAAGCGGTGTAATGATACTGTACAGAAAATCCAATAAATACATTAAAAAAAAAAAGAAATGTGAAAACAGAGAACAAAACTCAGGAAATTTGGGGGGACAGTGTTTTTCCCCTCATTTTTTCCAAGGCATCCTCTCATTTTTCCAGTGGAAAAACTGGAAAATTTGGAGAGCACAGGAAAAAAATCCAAAGTATTGTCTCTTAAGGATAGGATTGCCAGCTCCAGGTTGGGAAATATTTGGAGATTTGGGGGGTTAGGCTTATCATTCCCCCGGGGGGGGCAAGGATTTGCCTGCTTTTAGGGCCCCTGATCTGCCAGCCCAAATTTGGCTGGCAGGGGAACCCCACCCCCAAAGTCCCAGGATCGTGCCAACATGCCCGGCGTGATGACATCACCTCCAGGTGTTTCTGGCCAATAGAGTTTCTGGCCAAATGCTAGAGTGTCCCCCCAGCAATGTGCCTAGCATGATGATATCACTTTTGGGTGATGTCATCATGGCATGCCTGCGCTATGGGCATGCACCGAAACATCCCAAAGAGGAGCCAGGAGTCCCCACCAGCAGAAGGTAGGGACCTGGCAACCCTATGGGGGGTAGAGCCTGAGGAGGGCAGGGTTGGGGTGGGCTTTGATGGGGTATAATGCCATAGAGGCCACCTTCCAAAGTGGCCATTTTCTCCAGGTGAACTGGTCCCTATCGCCTGGAGATCACTTGTAATAGCAGGAGATCTCCAGCCACCACCTGGGGGTTAGCAATCCTACTTAAGGACCTAATAGTTTGCCATGGAGACGTTTAGTCAGAGTCAGCTGCAGGCTCCCACTGGAAATTCAGTTCTCAAGCACAAAGGACTCCTATTGGGATCAGGAAGACAATGGCATGTGGGGAGCACATTGCCACTTTGGAAAGCGGACTTTATGGCATTATGCTCTATTGAAGTCCCTCCTCTTCCCAAACCCTGCCCTCCTCAGTCTCCACCCACAAAATCTCCAGGTATTTTCCAAACCAGCGCTGGTATCCCTACCTTCATGGCAGGAGGGGGTGGGGCAGGGGTGGGACAGGAGGTCAAAATAGCCTTGACCCCTGTCTTTTACTTAAAGAAATCAAAATGTGAAGACTGGCAATATTTTTGTGCTTACCTGGCAACCCCGACAGTGGCCCTAAGGTCTCAGAGGCCATTCATTTCTTAAAGATACAGATACTACATCTACTATTGGGGGGGTAGCTCCCCAATGCTGTTGTTTTTCAGATTTCAATCTTTTTCTGCAAACCTGGGGCTTTTCTCAGGTTTGTAAAAACCCTGTCTGTTCATGGCTCAGATATCTGAATTTAAATATCCAAAGCTGGGGCGATCTTGAGAAATAGATATATTGTTATTTCATTGGAACTTTCAGACAGCCAAAGCAACAACAACAAAAAGGTATGCTTACTGAACCTGCTGCACAGCGCAAGTAATCCATTTCAGAAGGAAAAACATTTCCCAAATAAAGTGAAAATCCAGAGGTAACAAGAATGCAAGTCTGAAATGCAACAATTTGACATAAATTAGTACTAAAGTTAGTTCCTCTTTAAGTAAAACACACTGCAACCTTTAATAATAATTTCTTCATACTAGTGATATTGAAATCAATCATCAAAAGATTTAAAGATCAGATGAACATGTTTTGTTACTTGCAAGTTCTAGAACTATTATGCAATGACTTGGAAACAGTATAAAAATAATAACTTGGAAACTACTCATGCTTAACTACGGAAATAAAAATATCAATTAAAAGGTTTGGGGTCTAAGACATAACGTCAAACCATGACTGCGAACATGACTGAGGTCTGACATTCCCCTCTTTTCTTTAATGCTCCTGTTTCCTCACTTCCTTTCTATTCTGCAGCAAAGCAGATTTTGCTGTTAAATCCAAAATATAACATAGTTTCCTGAAATTAGAACTGGAAGTGATAAAGAACGCCTTGTGGAAATCACAGGTTGCCTGGTTTGGATGCAAGGCCAACTATTGCTTGCTGCAAGCCAGGAAGTCAGGGAGGGAATTCCGGAACACGAGAGAGTGCAGGAAGTGGGGAGGGGAGCATATGACATAATGATCATTCACACAACACTAACCTATGGCTTGGAATTATTGCTGATCTGAGGCAATCAATATTGATACCTAATAAGAAATATGGCTAATGCTATCCATATTTTGTCTTCCACACTATGGGTTATGTCCTAAATGGGACATGACAAACCATAATTTGTGTAAACAAACTATGATTGTGCTCCTTACCTGCTGACCATCTCCCACTACAATCCTGAGATGCTATACCAAAAAGGAAGAGCACTGCCTCAAACCATATGTTTAATGATTTGGACATAACAATACTGCTGTTTGTCTAAATTCTGGTTTATCAGCCAGCTTCAAACTGCTGTTTGAGGTTACAGTTTGGCATCCACCCTTACACTATGGCACAATTATTTTTATTCTTCGTTCAATGTATCATGGTTTGTTCAAAATATGGTTTGGAAATGATGGTTACATTTGAACCAAGGTTGGTTGAGGATTCACACACAAAAAGTGACATCCCTCCCCATGGGATCCTGTATTTGTTATTTGTTTATTTATTTCAAATATTCTCCTGACAACTCAGGTACACAAACATGGAGAAATTTATTTGGAAACTACATTATCATTAATTGCACTGTTAACCATCCTACTGAATTAGTTTAGCCTGCTGACTTGATTGGTTTTGTTGACATGGCATTTTTTTGGTTTGTGCAGTGATTTTATTTTATTTATTTGTTATTTGTTATGATACTGTATATTTTGTAGCAGAAGACATATTTTAATGGATTTTTGTTAGCTACCTTGCAGATCACTAATCAATAAATTAAATATATAAAATATATCAATTTTTAAAGAACTTAATACGCCTTACACAAAAATGTGCTCTGCTGGTTTTTTCCCCTAGGAAAAAGAAGCATGCGGGGTGGCTTGGAAAAGCAGTGACAGGAAGGGGGCCTTTTCCCTAAGTAGTTGTTGGCTTTCATCCCTCCACAGTAGGCTTTTAATGGGGAGGAAAATGTTCTGGAAGGTGTTTTGATATCAAATCAAATCAAATTTATTGTTATGGCCAATTGACCAGCAGTGCAGTAAAACAATACAATAATAAACACGTACGATCACCAACACTCACAGACAATAATACCATCATAGTACCAGCCACAGACCCCTATTAAAATTGTAATTCTATTCCCTTAATTCTAAGTCTTGTCTAAAATTCTCTTCAGTCTGTGCTTTTTGTTAAAATCTTTCGCTTGTTTATTACTAAAAAGCAATATTTTGCTACTACCAAAGTTACTGCCTTCTTGGTATCTTCCAACAAATATTTCAGCAGCACATTATCTGCAAATTTCAAATAGTTGTCCAAGGGTTTAAATTGGGCAAGTAAAGGACAAAATTAGCTGGTATCTCTCTCTGAAATAGAGTTTACAATGTAAAAGAACGTGTGTGATTGTTTCAACTTCTTTATCTGCACATAGACAACATCTTTGATGTATAGGCCAACGGAGATACCTTCCTTGCAGTAAATTAGAGGGGAAGGCATCAAAACGCGCTCTAGAGAAAGCCCATCAATACTTTTATATGTATTGTTAGATACAGTGCTGCTGCAAATCCAGGCCAAGATTTTAGGTTACTGTACATCTTGGGTAAAACCGCTTCATCAGTTTGAACCTCAATATCAACCAAGCGCTGCTAAACTAAAGATTTTGCTTTACTCAGACCCATTTCCAGAAGATTTGCTGGACATAACCCAATCATACCTAGCTTATCTATTATTCTGGCGGACCAGTCTGGATATGGGGTAGAAGCTAGAAGCAGAGGGGGGTCAATCCTGTAGGCTTCAGATGGATTCTCAACCAATAATAGATCGAAATTGTCCAGATTTTCAGTTGCACTCTTGGTACACCAGCCTCCTGTCTTAGAACCACATTAGTGGTACTTTTTGGTACATTAAACAGTGCTCTGAGAAATTTAGATTGTACTCTCTCTGATGTCTTGTAATTACTCTTGTTATTTAAAATCATTTGCATCCCATAGGTAAGTTGGGTCAACACTTTGGCAGAAAAGAGCTTTAGAGCTGCCGGTACTAAACCTAGGCCCTCATTTCTGAAGAATCTAATAATAGCATTGACACTTCTCTCTGCTATATTAATTGTAGATGTAATGTGGGCTGATTGACTGCCATTATGTGAGAAAGTTAACCCCAGGTATTTAAAAGATTTTACTTGCTCAATATTCTGACCATTGATTTTCCAATTGCATTTACTGTATGCTCTATTGTATTATTTTGGTTTTTGAGTAATTAATAACTAACAATTAATTATCACATTGACTGCTAAATGTATTCAGAGCACGTTTTAAACCAATTTTTGTTTGTGAAGTAAGAATGGCATCATCGGCATACATAAGTATTGGTACACTTTTCCCTCCCATACATTTATGGGCATGTACATCTATCCCTTGTAAGCACTGGATTAAAGAATTTACGTATATATTAAATAGAAGAGGGGCGAGCAGGCAGCCTTGTCTAACTCCTTTTTGTGAGGGAATGCATTTGGATAGCTTACCCTCATAGTTATACCTGATTTGTAATTGAGTATTCTCGTGTAATTTAATTATCAAGCGTAACAGCCTTTTATCTATGGTTGAACTTTCTAGTTTTGCCCAGAGTCTCCCTCATGAAACAGTATCAAAAGCTGCCTTAAGTTCTACAAATGCAACAAATAAAGAACCCTTAGCTGTTCTAACATACTTTTGGATGAAATAATCTAAAATGAGGCAATGGTCCAGAGTTGAACGACCTTGGGTGAACGACCTTGCTCAATTTCCAAGTAATTCTCTTGATCTAGCCAGCTACTCAGTTTCATACATAGATGTTTAGTGTACAATTCACATATGATATTTAGGAGACTAATTGGTCTATAATTATTTGGATTGGCTGTATTGCTTTTCTTAAATATGGGTACAATGATTGCCAAACCCCAGTCTTTTATATTTGGGCAGTTTAATCTATATAGGTAAAAAGATTAGCCAAAATTGGTGCCCACCAATCTGTATTTGCTTTTAATAATCCAGCTGGGATAAAATCACTTCCTGGGGCCTTCCCCCTTTTTAATTGATTTATCAGAGACGTGACTTCTTCAGCTGTAACGGGGCCATGCGGGAGTCCCTTCTAAAGGAATCTCAATGGAGAATGCGGGGCAAAGGTCCTTATATAATGCTGCAAAATGTTTCGGTGTTTTGATATGGAGAAGCATGGAACAGGGGAAAAAATTAATCACCTTGTTCCCTGAGTTGCCTCTGAAGTTTCTTGTGTTACACAAAAGTGCAGTTCTTCCTCTCTTCAAAATAAGGAATCCCTGAATATAAGCCTTTTTCTTTCACATATTGCTTTAGGTCATACTTGAACAGGTTTTGGACAGGCGCCTTCTACTGAGAGGTCCAGATAAGTACTATCTCCACAACAAAGTGGCCTCCCTTGAAACTCTCTCCCTGCCTCTGGTTGCATGATATTTTTCTGTCCTCAATTCTTTCTCTGCTTGCCATCACTCTTCTTTAGTGCAAAGGTCATAGTTTGTTTCCAAGTATACAAATTATATTAGCATTTGAGAATCTCAGTGGTATACAGTGCAATTCTAAAAAGAGCTACGTTCTTCTAAGCCCACTGATTTCAACTGGACTTGGGAAGGGTTTAAATCTGCTTAGGATGGCAGTGACAGAGTCTGCACAGTGTAGCTTGGATCAATCTCTCCTTATCAAAGATAACCTGATAGACTGCAGTGGATTTGTATTTCATAAAACTAATTAGTCTTACCCTTATTTCTTAAGCTATTTTCAATACATTACTTTCGTCAGAATTTCTTTTCTTTCTAAAAATGTCACAAAATATTTCCTCCATTGACAGCAAGAATTCAGCAACAACGATTTATCAGTTGTGACACAGCATAAGAAAAGAAAACCTCACTAGAGTACTAAATTAAAGCTAACTAAAGAAGTAAGTCTTACTTTGGCAGGCATGCTGAAAAAACATTTAAAACATCTCACAAAAGGCAGACAGCTTGTCTGCACCTTGTGATTATGCAGTTTTGTGTTCCAAAGAACATTTCAGCTACTAGTTCAATGAAAGACTCCAAGAGCCTCAGTGACTGTTACAACTACCAAGAACTTCATAAATGGTCCCAGTGTAATAAGAACTGCAATGACCAGACCACCTCCTAATAAGCAGGTACATGATTTTCTTTAAATTATGATGGCTATATTTGACATGTGGCAGAATTTTTCAAAGGAACTGCAAGAGCTCATGCTCTTCATCCTCATTAGCCATATCACAGTCCCCAGAAACAGAAACAGATCATACTGAAATCATACAACAATTACTGCCATACAGCCAGGAAAGCATAGTAAGACTTACCTGTTTGGGATGGACTTTGTGAGCTGAATTGGAACGGCTTGGGGATACTTCTGAGAACAATAACCTTATGTATTACTGATTGGTGTTATTATTATTATTAATTGCCCTTATCCTTCAGGCTGGCTAAAAATCTTAATTAATAAATTAATAAGGTTTTCATCTTACTTCACTTTACCAAAAGCAATTAATCTCCCTCCCCCCCTCCCATCTAATACAAGAACCACTTGGGAATTTCTTCTGCATAATGTTCAGAATTGTCCAACATAAATATTTTGCACCATAAAGAGTTCCAATTGTCAAAGGACTCACAAAACAAACAAGCCCACAGAAAGGGGTAACTATTGTTCATGTGACAGTATATGATTGTAATGATTGTATGCTATAGTTATTTTTTTCTCTTCACTAACTAGAGAGAAGACAGCATGGCACAGAATTCATGGCAGTTTGCAGGATCTACAATTTACACTTAGGAGGTTTCAGGATTAATTTTAAAAATTCAATAGTATTAAAAATAAAGTGCCAGTTATATTAAGTGTCCTTTAACTCCAAATTGTTTAGTAAAATGGGTAATGATGTAAAAAGATAATTTTATATGCTATCTTACACAGCTGTAACTGTTCAGTCCTGAGTGAATCGGAATAACATACAGTACTTACTCCCATCAGTAACGAATAGATCCAAGTTCTATAACTGAAACAAGGGTGAAATCGCTTTGATAGTTGAAGATCACTAGATTTCATATCTGAAACATAATTTCCATTTTCTTGTTTTCCACGTTCCAATGTTGGCATCCTGTCATAACTAAATTCTTCCCTATAAGCTTCTTCCTTGGTCATAATACTTTAAAGAGAAAATAGTTATTTAATTTGGGTGGATGTGAGGGGGTCACCACTAAATGTTACTCTCTTTTCCTAGAAAACCAATTCTTCATTCTTATGAATATGAAACTCATATTGTATTATTGAGTCAAACCAGGCCCGTATTGTTTGTTTTGACTGGCAGTGGCTCTTCAGGGCATTAAATAGAGGTATTTTTACTAGAGATGCCAGGGATTGAACCTGGGACTTTCTACACACTTACCACTGAACCATAACTGCTCTGTGAATCATATACTTTATGTCCTGCTCCTAAAAAGATTAAGTAGAAGCTATCCTACACATTTCAATGCACCTTTTACCTAGTGTGCTTAAGACTGATATATCCAAAATAGTCCTAAATATACTTTATTCATATATTTTATAGAACTATACTGATTTCTTTAAAATGAAAGACATGGACTTCCAGATAAATATGTTTAGAAGTGAAATATAAATTATTGAATAAATACAATCAGTAATGTTGGAAGATATATTTTCAATCGATTGACCAGGTTTTCCAAGCACAGTTGGCAATCACAGCATGGAACCAAATAAACAACATTTTGTATAAACTGGTCTCTTAAAATTTGAGTCTCTATTTCTAAACCACTTCTCAACAACTTCTACATCTTATCAAGGAATAGAGAACTATTCTTTCACGTACAGGTTCCTAACTTTGATTTAGGTATAATAATCAGCAAAAAGTGGCAAAGAGAGAGAATTAGGATAAATACATTTGATCAAAACACTCCAGCTGCAGCATATATGGCTATCTGGCAAAACTGTTTGCTTTGAAAACATAGCTTACCATTTTAAACTTTGTTTCCCAACCTTTTTGGACTACTCCTGCACAGGAGTAGGCAGATGACTATAGCCTAACCACATATTTATTAGCAGTAAAAATATTTCATACTTACCTTAAATGTACTATATAATAGTCTAGTTCAAATAGTTTTGTGGGTAGAGTTGTCTGTACACTTGGTTAGTCTCACTGTTTAGTGATTCACGCTCCCTTTGAAAAGTTTGCTCTTCCACTTTGGCTTTCAACAAGATCTTTTCATATGTGGAACAAAAGCACAGCAAAAACCACAGTGAAGCCAGAGAACAGGGAAATGCCAACTGAATTTTAATGAAGGGAACATACTGGGGAAAGTTCTGTACCATATTCTAACAAGGCTGGTTCTGTCATCCCCTTAGCAGAAGCAACCATTTTAACATGATAAAATTTTACATTATTAATGGTTAGACTACTGAGTGCAAAATTTCATACAATTTCAAATCATTATATGCCAAAGAGCACTATAAAATAGGAGTTGTGGTGGCTCAAGTGGTTAAGACACTGAACTGCAGGCTGTGGAAGGTTGGTAGTTCAGCAGTTCGAGACCCGGGTACCGCATGATGGAGTGAGCTCCCGTCTCTAATTCCGGCTCCTGCCAACCTAGCAGTTCGAAAGCAAGAAATTGCAAGTAGATAAATAGGTACCACTTCAGGGGGAAGGTAACAGCGTTCCGTGTGCCTTGGTGTTTAGTCATGCCAGCCACATGACCACGGAAACATCTTCGGACAGCGCTGGCTCTGCGGCTTTGAAACGGAGATGAGCACCGCAACCCTAGAGTCGGACTCGACTGGCTTTCGAGCAAGGGAACCTTTACCTTTACCTTTACTATAAAATATGTGATCCAAGGGGAAAAAACTAAGACCTAAATATGACAGTTGAGATTCTGAGAACAAGCCTAAGCAAGTCTACTCAGAAGTAATCACCAACGGTACTCCTAAATATGTTTCATTTCTGGGAAAGAATATTATATATTGTTGTTATTTATATTATTGTATTGTATTGTATTATATTGTACTATATTATGCAGTAATAATCCAGTCTTAAACACATAAGATTGCAGTGAGATCTTAATTAGAGTTATGAGATGCGATGGTTGGGATCTGACAATTTCCATCAGCAGAACACAAATTTCTTCCCCTCCTGCTGCAGCGCAAAGTGCCTCCCAAGTGGTGCTTCTGTAGACAGAGAACCCCCAGGAACAGCATGAGGAGTAGGGTTGTCAACCTCCAGGTGGGACCTGGCAATCTCCCACTATTAACCTGATCTCCAGACAACAGAGATCAGTTCCCCTGGAGAAAATGGCTGCTTTGGGGGGGTGGACTGCATAGTACTGTACCCTGCTGAGGACCCTCCCCCAAACCCCTCCCATCCCAAGCTCCACCAGGTCTGTAGCTACCAAGGGGCCCACGGGGCCCACCCCCTGGTTTTTAAGGCCCCTTCCCCCGATTCTCAGCTACCCCTCCCTCCCCCGAGCAGCTCTGAGCAAGAGTAAGCGCCTTCTGGCTGTGTGTGCTACGACCCATTCACGCCTGCTTTTCCTAGCACTGCAGCCGTGGAACGACCCCACTTCCCAGAAGTGATGTCTGCTTTGGCTGAGTCCAGGCAGAAGACTCCGCCCCCTCTTCCCTCCCTGAGCCTCCCCCTGGTGCGTAAATCGCAGGTGACCCAACAATCAAAATGGGCTCTTCCCTCCAAATCCTCCCACCCTTCAGGGAGGAGAGTGCTCAGTCTGAGGTGTCTACACAGCAGTACACTCTCCTGTGGGGAGAGAGACTGTCTCATTTATAGAAAGTAGTTCCACAGTAGTTTAGTCAAACGATTGGAACTGCCCCCCCCATTACCCAGATTTACAGCAGTCGTCATGACTGGGACGCACAGAATCAACAGAGGTGAGAGGAAAGGCTGGCTCCTTGGTACAGAGGCAAAGGATCTTCACCTCGTTAAACAGCAATGTTGAGCGACTCCCTCAGACCTAAAGGTGTTTGGTTAATGCGCTATTTTCTTTTGATGGTGTCTGGTAATCCAGGAGTCAGGCTCTTAAATTTACCCTGAATCACAGGTAGGATTGCCAAAATGCAGGAATGACAACTGATCTCCAGATTACTGTTGAAAATGGCAGCTTCAGAGGGTGTACTTCTATGGTATGCCATAGATCCCAGGTTAAATCCCTGCCTAAATTCTTCCATCTACAGTGATGATCAAGATACGCAGTGACACTAAATAACAAGTTAAGGTTATAACAGCTGTAAAACAATAAATATGTCAAACTAGCCAAGAAATGTCTAAAGGTGTCTTTTCTAATTTAGTTATTATTTAGAAGTATGAGCATGGCATGGCAGTACCACACAGACATATAATGGCAGGCCCCCTGAGAAAAACATTGCCCCCCCCCGAGCAAAAAGTTGTTAACTACGGGGCTGAGCTCCACCCCCCAGATCTCCAGGTATTTCTTCAACCAGAGCTGGCAACCCTAATGAGGAGGGAGTTGAAGCTTTGCAGTGGGGTAGGGAAGTCAGCAAGAATCACTCCTGCCTTCTGTTCATGGAAATCTTCCATTGGATCCAAGCCCATATATTTAGACAATAGCCAGTATTACACTGCCATCTTGGCAACACTTTGTGTAGAAAAAGAATATTTGCAGAATAGTTTCTACTCATTTTCTTCATGGATATATTAGGCTTTCTAGAGTACAGCTTTTCATTAAACAAAACAGAGTAAGTGTGTAGTAGGCAACAATATGTAATTACCTTGGGAATATCATATACTCTGAAGGCCCTGGCATATTGTCAACTAGAGCAATGTAATAGGCTTTTGTACAGTCTTAAAATTCTTTTGCAACTAGAAACAACTCCAGCAGACTACAGTTATATGTCAACTTTGAATGGAGATTTTTCTAGGGGCTTGTTGTTTCTAGTTGCAAAAGAATTAGGGGCTTTTCTGATTTTTTATTTTTGTCAGTTCTGGCCACAAGCGGCTTCGGTTTAAGCCTTGATTTCTGCACACATTTTTATGCCTTCAGTTTTCACTTCAGTTCCCCACCCCCGTAATTCTGACTTGCAAGAGATATGGAGCTGTGCCTAACTGGAATATTTTGATCTGTACCTTGCTTATACATGTTTATTTATCGTATGTTAACGAAGACTTACCTGATTTACCTGACGAAGGAATAGATCTGAAATGCTGATTATATTATCCGGAACTGCATTGTTTCTACTTGGAATGGACCTTATTTACTACATTTTTTTCTCCGTGTGCTTGTTCTATTTATGAAGGAAGTTTGCTGCTTTTGAGATATGCTGTGACTTATTGTGGGTTTGAGTTTGTTACCACCCACTTTTGGATGATTGTTCCTTATTATGTTTGTGATTCTACAATAATATATGCATATGAGTTTGGCTCATAAAACGGTAAGGACCTAACAGAAGCAGAAGAGATTAGGAAAAGATGGCAAGAATACACAGAAGAACTATACAAGAAAGACCTTGATGTCCTTGACAACCACGACGGTATAATCACTGACCTCGAGCCAGACATCCTGGAATGTGAAGTTAAATGGGCCTTAGAAAGCATTACTAACAACAAAGCTAGTGGAGGTGATGGTATCCCAGCTGAGCTATTCAAAGTCTTAAAAGATGATGCTGTTAAAGTGCTGTACTCAATTTGCCAGCAAATTTGGAAAACGCAATAGTGGCCACAGGATTGGAAAAGGTCAGTATACATTCCAATCCCAAAGAAGGACAATGCCAAGGAATGTTCAAACTATTGCACAATTGCACTCATATCACACACTAGCAAGGTCATGCTCAAGATCCTACAAGCTAGGCTTCAACAGTACGTGGATAGAGAACTGCCAGAAGTACAAGCTGGGTTTCGAAGAGGTAGAGGAACTAGAGATCAAATTGCCAACATTTGCTGGATTATGGAAAAAGCAAGAGAGTACCAGAAAAACATCTACTTCTGCTTCATGGACTATGCTAAAGCCTTTGACTGTGTGGATAACAACAAACTACGACAGGTCCTTAAAGAGATGAGAGTACCAGACCACCTCACATGTCTCTTGAGAAACCTGTATAAGGGTCAAGAAGCAACAGTTAGAACCGGATATGGAACAACTGATTGGTTCAGCATAGGAAAAGGAGTA